GCTAGGAGCCCCCGGAGGGACAACAACAAAGTACAAGTTGGAGGAACTGCCTGATGTGAGTGGATCAATTAGCCATGTTTGTCAGGACCTTTTCTGTGATATCTCCAAATACATGAAACAGTGAACAATCCCGGTACTTATCAACCAAACCCTCCCCCTCACCGTTTGTCCCCGAAATATCCTTCCCATTCACCGTCGTACCAGACGGGTATGTCGGTCGTCTACCTTCCTCAACCAGAGAAATGAATTGCGCATCCATAGGAACACTCCCCAGAAACGGAACATTAAATTCCTCCGCCATGCTCTTCCCTCCCCCAGACCCGAATATGTCAGTGCACTCGCTGCAGTGCGGACACACGTAGCCGCTCATGTTTTCCACGACGCCCAGTACCCGTATGTTGGTCTTGGTGCAGAAGTTGAGCTCTTTTCGTACATCCGCTGTCGCTACGGCTTGGGGTGTCGTGACCACCACTGCGCCCGCGACTTGGCCGGGTAATGCGTCCTTTTGCAGCGTTTCGGCGAGGGATATATGTTCGTCGCTTGTTCCGGGTGGTGTGTCGATGAGTAGAAAGTCGGTCTCGTCCCAGAGTACGTCTTTGAGGAATTGTCGTATCATCGCTGTTTTCTTTGGTCCTCGCCAAACAACGGCATCGCCTCGCTTCGGGAGTAGAAAGCCTAGACTCATCGCGTGTAGAGACCCGAGGCCTTTGGATGAGTCTCCTTCATGTACTAACACGGGCGCCCATCCTCCTGGTACTTGTGTGACTTTTGACTCTTCGATTGAGAGCATGCGGGGGATTGAAGGGCCGGTTAAATCGACGTCGAGAATACCGACAGAGTGACCGGCTGAAGCGAGCGACAGTGCTAATTGTGTTGTGACTGATGATTTGCCTACTCCTCCTTTGCCTGAGAGGACCTGTTTTGTGAGTAACGGCCAGCGAGGGGCGTAGGGTAACATACCAGGATGATGTGCTTGACCTTTGTGAGGCCCATCGCGAAGATGGAAATGAATGCGAATGAGTGTGCGTTAGATGAGTCGTAGAAAATGTGTCGCTGATGAAGAAATCGGTGGTAAGTGAGCTGCGCGCGTGGTCATGAAAATAAAGCGTTTGTTGTAAATCTTCACGTTGATCGCCTCTGATTTGAAAGCTATTTACTAAGCCGACCAAAAACATTGGCCGAACCGGCGATGAGGGGCATTCACCCAGCTATCGATAAGAGAAGACTCCGTCATCGGTCAAACTCAAAAAATTTTAGATCAAAGATCGTCACTGACATCACAGATCTCGATGACACAGTCTATGCAAAGTTTATGCCACTTTATGAAATGAGTTATGAAAGCAAAACATCTATTATCTTATCGCTAGGGTATCTTATCTTCAGTATCACAAGCCACTTTTCCGACCATGACACCAAACCATGCCCATCCCATTCCTCCTTTTCCGTAAAATGTCCACCGCCATTATCTATAGCAAAACTCCCAAGCAAACCCAAGCAAACCAAACACATAATCCCAGATAATGCCTGCTAGTTCAGGCGACAACAACGCATAAAGTCAAAGCGCATCTCCCTTGTCTTGGCGTGCTTTGACGCTCAGATTTCTTATCTTTGTCCCCCTGTCGGCCGTTGGATGCCTCATCAGCTTTGCAAGGTGCGAAACAAATTGTCTCAGTTACCCTTGCGGAAAGCCGGTGATGCTGATGGTGGTACTTGCGCGGGTGAGTCCATCAGAAATTGAACCGTCTCGCGTTTGCACATGACGATAGGCTTCTTCTGTGCGCAGTATCCCAAGAGTTCAGCGTGTTGAGGTAGGGTCTCGGGTACAGCATCTGTGTATCGAATGATGGGACCACCGTCAAATGTAAGCCCGATGACTTGTGCTTTGTATTCAATGTCTTCCTCTTCATCGGGGTTGGCCGCAATTGTGTTACTGTTTGTGTTAGTTGAAACATTCTGAGTAACGATGATGGGTACTCACGCTTGACTGATTGGAGGCCCAAATTCAAAGTCCTTCTTCTGGCGACGGCTTCGAATTCGCTTCTTTGTGCAGTCGTGGAATAGATGAAGGAATCCAGCAATCACAAGAACGGGTGTACCTAATGCAAGTGCCCATGGTCTGAACCGTCAGCGGCTGAGTGTAACATAGTAGACGAGAACTTACGGATGCTGTCGTCCACGAAGGGTATGTGCCATGGCAAGAATGATGCCAATCATGGCGATCAATGAACCAACTTGGATCATGGTCCAGGTAGACCAATATAGTGAGATAAGGTCTTCACCGTCACAAAACTGAAGCGCTAGAATGGAGTACGCTTCCATGACGACAATGACTGTTGAGACAGAAACACATCCAAGACACATGGCAAGCGACTGCCGTATTCGCTTCGTTCGTGCTTTGGGGTTATGAGCTAGCTTCTCCATAGCTGCTTGGCCACTGTTCTCGTTAGATCAAGTCATTTAAATCATCCGAATGTCAGACTCACCGGATGTATGTCCACGAAGCAATAAACAAGACCAACAAGTTGGACACAAACATGGTCCAGTAGATAATCTTGAACTGCCATCGCACCATATGAGAAGCAAAGTGAGCATACTTGACACACAGCTCAGGGTCAGGGTCCTGTCGTCGAAATAATGAAGCCATTTTTGTTGGTTGTAGAGATGAAATCTTATGAAAGCCCGGAGGAGGGAGACATCCTTATACTTGTGCACAGCCCTGAATCACTCCCAAGCCAGTGCCTCTGTGATATGGAGTACAAGACCCGCTATCTCTGAATCTATTCCAATGTGACGCGCAATTCCCTTCTTGGTGTTCCTTGCCAAGCTATCCCAAGAGCGGCGATCCCATGTTGAGCCTCTGTCAGTGAGATCCCGTCTTGGCCTGAATAGGGGAAGTTGGGAAAAACATTTCGGGCTTAGACACGAGGCCGATTAAAGTGTCTGATTGGACTGCTGAGATCTGTGTTTGTGAGATCGGGCACCTATCTACAAGGTACTCCCTGCGGAGCTTAGCTTGCGACATTCTTTTTTGCTTTGTGCTGGGCTTGTTGCCAAGGGCGAGGCGATATTACAACGGGTCATTGAGGCTGTGAGCACGCTTATTGAGTGGATCCCTCGTCCCGTGCCAAGTCGGGGCTTGTCCCCCGTCATGACTCCGGAGCCGTAATCTTGAGGGGAGGCCCTTCGGAAGATGTCTGTGTCCCAAGTCCGGGGTTTTAGATCCCTGCCATATAACAGCCTGATAACAACCCAACCGTTCGGTTGAGCCTAGTAATTAAACTATCTATTACCCTTGCGTAGGTATTGCTTTTTTGCAAAGTTTTCACATGTGAAGGAGGAATCCATCTGTGAAACATTGTGCAATCTTTGTCATGTTTTGTGTCACAGACATTTCCTTGATTTGCCCTTCTGGCCAAGTAAGCCTTTCCCGCCCGCAAGTGTGGATCACGGCACTTGACCGCCACAGGGGAATCTACATTTCAGCTATCTAGATCTAGCCTTGGAATGAAATTCCGTGAGTGGTTGGCTAGATGATCGGCACTTTTGATCTACACTCTTCGAGCCTCCTCACTCGGCTCGCTGCTTGGCATCTCAATGTTTCTCATGCTCTCCTCTTGCCTCGTCAGTCGCATCTTGCAATCAATTATCGCCAAGGTTCAACGGATATCCAGGCTGCCTACATGTACAACGTGCCGCGTAATCGGAGTCCGAAATGGAAACATGAGGCTTCCTGCAGTTTCATGTCCTCGTGGATAATAAGCGTAAAACCAACCTTATCAATTGTGTAACTAACGGCCGTGATACGGTATGTGAATGCTAGACTTGGCGTGCTTATCAGGATCGTCGTCGCTGTGACGAGTCAGCAATGTCGATCCTTTTTAGTGACCGTGGCTGAGTGGGAGAGCTGCTTGACTCATTGACGCGTATGAGACATTGATAAAGGGAATGATTAAGCTTATCTGAGCTATCGACGCACGTCATGAGACAAAAAGTTCCGATCCGCGATGGTTACAGATCTACACTGTGGAGGCTAGCATCGTTCGCGTGGAGGTTAGCATGATTTTCGTGGAGGCTACAGCCTAATTACGGAGCGGTTACAAGCCGCAGTGATGCTGACGTATGATTGCACAAATTCGGCGCAGCTGTGAATTCGCGTATCTGTAACGATAAGCAGGATCTCGACGTGATACAGCGCGTGAGCCAGCGTCACCGTGATTCCGATGGCTACGCAGGGATTACTGCATTGGGAAACATGTCCAGATCTGGATGTAACCAATTCATCTTTGGCCAACCTTGTTCTAAGCTTAAATCAGGGAAACATCGAGGAAGGAGCGCCTGCCAAGAGCGTACCCGCGGGTACTCAACTGAAACCATGATCTTCGCTGTTTGATGGATGAAGCAATTTGAGGGTCCAGCGTGGCTTGGCTGTGGGGATAGGACTGGAATACCCCAGTGATCTGCCAACAAGGTTGGGGAATTTCATCTGAGAGATTCAGACAAGATCGAGCCAAGGAATACTGACAAAAGGTCTTTACTAAGAGCCGTTGTTGAGTGGTTGTTAATGCTGCTTGATCGGATTACTGTCCGAATGTCGGATAAGAGTTCGGAAATACGATTCGTGGCCGATTGGTGACTACGAGATATTCTTGATAGGGGAGATGGACTATCGATTCAAGCCTCTGACGGCACTCATTCGGCAGTGACATCGATAACGACCTCTGCCGACGCCAGTGCCGGAAGCTTGAATGGGGATTTGAGTTTGAAATGCCGTTGGGACTTCGGAGACATCTGTATCCGGAACTCTGTCTGAGGACTGCCGTTCCATCCCGCTCTGACGACGACGAATGACGTTGATAAGGACCCCATTCATCTTCATACAATTGGTAGAAAAGTGTGAGGAGAAACAGAGTAAAATTGGACCCATAGAGCTCGTAATTCTGCCACTCACGCTCACCATCCCAACGGGGATGATCTACAGCTGTCTCTGCCTAGGAAAACCTCAGAAGCTAAATTGTGTGATGATTGATTGATGTCCGGACATTTTCAAGTCCGGCAGATCAGTTCCGATAATGGCAAACAGCTTCAAAACTGTTGAGACGTTGAATGATGTCAACGTGGAGGCTGAGTTTTGTGGCTGAAGCTTATCTATAAGCTCGAGGTTGATCAGCGTAACCCAGTTGAGACTCTGTTCCAAGATCACTGCACAGAGAAGTTAAATAAGGATCGCCAGTATTGACTTACTATCGACAGCAGGATCCTCTGCTGATTTCTGCACAAGTTCCTGAAGCGCGACGAATTTCGAATGTCGACAATATTCACGATCACTACGTTTTGCATGTTTGATATGACTTGTTCTTGAGAAAATCAACGCAATTCTCAGTACTTCCGCAAACGGTCTTCTATTATTGTAGGATATGTCCCTCCGGGGGCTCCTAGCGGAGGGCTCTTCCTCGCTGCGCTCGTAGGTTGCACAGGATTACTCTGTCTGGACATTTTACCCCGGAAGAATCGTTAGGCCGTAGCTGATAGCGTAAGGAACAAAAACCAGCTCATTTCTCTTTTCGTCAGTCCTCAAAATCAAGATCCATGAGGCCCAAACAGCGGAATTTGACAGCAAGGTTGGGGGCAGCTCTCTCTCCGAAATCTGGGATCTTATACCTATGGACTACTCAATAACACGCGATCATGAGATATCCCTTTTTGCTTGTTTGGTTGAATTCCAGAGATCCCAGCCAGCTTTACCTGCCCATGCTTATTTCGATGCTCAATCACGGCGTTGAAACATGATACGAACCGTGAGGACTTGATCCGCTATTCTAGCGCATACAAACATTTCGTTGCCTAGAGCACTCAAGAAATCGTCTTTTAATTCTATCGTTACCCTATTGCAGTCTCATCAATGAACCGCATCCATCCCCGACGAGGTCGGATAGACGTCACAACAACCCAACATACGTGCATTGAAGATAAGCAGCGTCACATGCTCAAAATGAGTTTAGAAATAAAGTCCCTTATCATTGGCTTCGATACCAGCCGCCAATTCTAGAAACAATCCCGATTATTCAAGGATGACGTGTAAGCTAGAACAATTCGAGGCTGGTCGCCGGTAGTTCGAGTTTCCGACGGCAAACGATTCTCCCGTTTCAAAAATCGGATGAATTCAGCTTCCGGCCGCCCTCTGATTGGCCAGATATTCATGCGACAGGCATTGAAACTTTGGCGGCCGACTTGACGTCGTAGCGAGTTTGACCCAGTGAGACGGGGCTGTGTTGAAACGCAATTGAAGCATGTGATGAGACGAGAGTTTTGGTATTTATATAAGGGGAAGACACTCAAGCAGAGGTGGTAGAATAATCAAAAACTAAAATGGAACCGATTTCAAAGACTCAGAGAACTATTCACGATGACTCCAAGTCAATGGGCAGACGCTTCGTTGACCTGGCCAAGGTATGATGAGCCCAATCAACAGGCACGATCCTTGCTAACAGTTTAGTTCTTATCATCATTAAAAAGCGATTTAGATCTCGCAAATGTGACAGCTCCACCGTTCTTTTTAGCACCATCTTCCGTCGTTGAGAACCCCGGAAGTTGGGCGAAGAAGCCTTTACTTTTCACAGCACCTACGAAGGAACTGGACCCAGCGAAGCGAAGTCTTTCAGTCCTGCAATTATTCTTAGCAGGCCTTCGAAGTCAACTGTATGTTGCAGGTGCCCCAAATGTCAGCATCAAGAAACCTCTCAATGCTTTTCTTGGTGAACTCTTCCTTGCTTCTTGGAGCGAGGGGGACAGTGATACCAAGTTGGTAGTTGAGCAGGTTAGCCATCATCCACCGATCACTGCGATGCATATTTCTGCAGATGGGATAAGAGCAGATGGTTATGGACGAGTTGAGATGACATTTAATGGAAACATTAACATTCGGCAAATGGGACATGCTATTATACACCTCGACAAGTTTGATGAGGATTACCTGGTTCCTCTGACCGACGTCACAGTACGCGGTTTCCTCTCGGCTTGTCTTTATCCTGAGATTATCGGCACATACACAATTGTCTCCAGCTCCGGATATGTCTCGGAAATTGACTTTTCTGGCGCTGGTATCTTCCGAGGCAAGAGGAATTGCTTCGAGGCGAGAGTGTATCACAAAGATGAGCCTAAGAAGCATTGCTACAAGCTATCAGGAGTCTGGAGTGAGGGATGGAAGATTACCGACAGCAAAGGAAAGCTGTTAGAAACATACACCGTCGACCCAGAGACATCTGCAGACATGCATATCGATCCAGTGGAAGAGCAAAATCCCCGGGAGTCAAGAAAGGCATGGGGAGAAGTTATATCGGCTCTAGAGCAGGGTAATTATCGGGATGCATCCCACGCGAAGCATGAGGTTGAAGAGGCCCAACGGCAAAAGAGGAGAGATGAGAAGCTACATGGAAAGACGTGGGAGCCGTTATTGTTCCGCAGTTCACCGGGTGATGAGCACAAAGCCTTTCATCAATTGGCTCAAGGGACTAAATGGAAGCTTCACGACCATGAGACGAAGGGAGTTTGGAAAGTTGATGATGAAGCTCTGCGGAGGATGCGAAAGGAGGATGGGCAGATTACGATTTAATGACATGAGTAGCTTAAAATAAATAATTCCAGAAG